GAGAGAGAGAGAGAGAGAGAGAGAGAGAGAGAGAGAGAGAGAGAGAGAGAGAGAGAGAGAGAGAGCACGGACCACCACGCAGGTAGAGCACCGACCACCACGCAGGTAGAGCACCGACCACCGAGCACACGCGCACCGACGCAGAGCACTCACACGGGCACCGACCACGGAGCACGCACATGCTCACGTTCAGAAAGGCGCACGTTCGGTGGCGGGCGATTGGAGAAGTGGCCGGCAACAACAATGTGGGCGGGCGATTGGAGGGGTGGGCCGACAACAACAATGTGGGCGGGCGATTGGAGGGGTTGGCCAGCAACACAAAAACGGGTGGGCGGACGATCGGGCGATTCGGCGCTTCCGGTACCAACCGGTGACAGGGCGATTGGAGGGGTGGGCGGGGTGGGCCGCGATTAGAAAAACGGGCGGACGGGCGGGCGGGCAATTGGAGGGGTGGGCAGCCGGAAAAAAGAAAACGGGCGGGCTTCCGGTAGCAACCGGCAGAATCCGAAATCCGATATCGCACGGCCCGAATCGCAGGCGGGTCACCACTGCGGACGGGCCAGATCGCAGGCCGATCAGAAAACTTTCTGATCGGCCTGCGATCCGCGCCGTCCGCGGTGGTGACCGGCCTGTAATTCTGGCCGTGCGATATGACATTTAGCAGTTATTATAGTAGGTGTAGATGTAAATGTAGATGTAGATGTAGATGTAGATGTAGATGTGGAAGACCCGGGGGGCTTGCTGTGTGAGCACCCTTCCTCAATCTGCATCTATTGGGAAAAAAAAAAAAAAAAAAACATTTTCAGGGCGTGAAAGTGCATTGTACACGCGCGTACAATGGCTACCTCGCGTTGTATGCAATGTACGGGCACGTATGCCGCATACATAGAGATGCCTGGCATGTGACCGTGGCAAATGTGTAAGGAACACCGGACTCATTTTCCAGCTGCAATCAAACTCGTTCTCAAACACACGTTTCATGCATGTAAACAGCAACCCAGCATACTGGCCACATGCGCCCACTCAAAACTCAGAGATATGGCTTTCAGATACGAGTTCACTCTCAATTAGCTATGGCGACTTCAGCGCCCAAACATCTCACTATTC